AGAAGCTTGCGTGTGCAGTCGGGCCTACCAAAGCAGTTCTGGACAGAAGCAGTCAACACAGCAACTTACTTGATCAACCGAAGTCCATCGGTACCACTGAATCACAAGTTACCAGAAGAGGTATGGAGCGGAAAAGAAGTAAAACTCTCACATCTTAGAGTTTTTAGGTGTGTAGCATATGTGCACATCAGTGATCAAGGTAGAAACAAACTTGATCCAAAATCAAAGAAATGTACTTTCCTTGGTTATGGTGAAGATGAGTTTGGCTACCGCTTATGGGATGATGAAAGCAAAAAGATGATCCGCAGCAGAGATGTCATCTTTAATGAAGAGTGATGTAAAAGGATCGGCATAACACAAGTGCCAGCAACTCAGAAGCGAGTGGGCCAGTTTATGCAAAGGTGGAAGATATTCCAGACATTCCGATAATAAGGAATCCTCGGTCAGAGGAATTAAATGAAGAAAGCGGTGAACAATCAGAACCTTCTACTCCAACTCCTGTATTGAGAAGGTCCTCTCGGCCCCATGTACCTAACAGAAGATAGATGGACTACATGTTGTTCACTGATGGAGGAGAACCTGAAGATTATACGGAGGCTTGTCAAACCCCGGATGCTAGCAAGTGGGAGCTTGCCATGAAGGACGAGATAAAGTCCTTGATCTCAAATCAGACATGGGAACTAGTCAAGTTACCCATGGGAAAGAAAGCACTTCACAACAAATGGGTGTATCGGGTGAAGGAAGACCATGATGGTTCCAAGAGATACAAAGCCCGACTGGTTGTCAAAGGATTTCAGCAGAAAGAAGGAGTTGACTATACTGAAATCTTTGCTCCAGTTGTAAAGCTCAATACTATCAGGACTGTGTTAAGTATTGTGGCTAGTGAAGAGCTCTACCTAGAGCAGTTAGACGTGAAAACTACATTTCTTCATGGAGACCTAGACGAGGAGATCTATATGCACCAGCCTGAAGGTTTTTCAGACGGAAAGAAGGATATGGTGTGCAGATTGAAGAAGAGCTTGTACGGCCTGAAACAAGCTCCAAGACAGTGGTATAGAAAGTTTGAGAGCTTCATGCACAAGGAAGGATTCCAGAAGTGCAATGCTGATCACTGTTGTTTCTTCAAAAAATATGAGTCCAGCTATATCATATTGCTACTTTAAGTCGATGACATGTTAGTAGCGGGATCAGATATGAAAGACATCAGAAATTTAAAGATGCAGTTGTCAAATGAATTTGACATAAAGGACTTAGGCCCAGCAAAGAAGATTCTTGGAATGCAAATCACGAGAGATAAGCAAAAGGGAGTTTTGCAGTTATCTCAGGCAGAGTACATCAACCGTGTTTTGCAGAGATTTAACATGGACAAGGCCAAGCCAGTCAGTACACCTTTGGCCAGCCATTTTCGTCTATCCAAGGATCAGTCTCCTCAAACAAAGGAAGAAGAAGAGTTCATGGCTAAGATTCCTTATGCTTCAGCCATTGGAAGTTTGATCGATGTACGCGATGGTCTGTACGAGGCCAGACATTGGCCATGCAGTGGGAGTTGCGAGCTGGTTTATGTCAAAACCGGGAAAAGCTCATTGGGAAGCAGCCAAATGGATCTTGAGATATCTACGAGGCACAATAGGAAAATGTCTGTATTTTAGAAAAGGAGATCTAAAGTTACAGGGCTACGTAGATGCAGACTTTGGAGGTGAAGTTGATCACCGAAGAAGCACCACCGGTTATGTTTTCACTGTCGGGGCTACAGCTGTTAGTTGGATGTCGCGGATACAAAAGATTGTTGCTCTATCCACTACAATGGCTGAGTATGTAGCAGTGACAGAAGCCAGTAAAGAATTGATATGGCTTCAAGGATTGTTAGCAGAGTTGAGTTTCACTCAAAAAGAGAGTGTCTTGCACAATGACAGTCAGAGTGCGATACATCTGGCAAAGAACTCAGTGTTCCACTCCAAAACTAAGCACATTGACATACGATATCATTTCATCAGATATGTGCTTGAGGATGAAGTGTTGACTTTGAAGATAATTGTAGGAAGCAAGAACCCAGCAGATATGCTAACGAAGGTGGTGACCATTGACAAACTGAAGTTGTGTTCAACTTCAGTTGGTCTGCTAGATTAGCAGACCGGAGAAGACTACTGCAGTAATTGAGGTGTGAGGACAGATTGAAATCGGTCCTCAAGTGGGAGATTGTTAGCCACAAATTTTGACAAAAGTGACAGCCCCCCATTATTGGAAATGGCAACAGATGGGGTTGGTGTGATGTTGATCAGTACACGTTTGTGGAAAAATTAGTGCACTTTCCCTTCTATAAATAGAGGGAGATTTTAATGGCAAAAATACATCTCAGAGAACAACAAAATACAAGAAGAAAGAAAAAGAGAGAGTAAGCTAATAATTTAGCTTCTGTGTGTATTTGAGTTGTGAGTTGTGAGTGAGTTTGAGAGTGTTTTGTAAACACGAGTGTATTTCTTTTTCCAAATAAAATATCTGCAGTAGTCCGGAGACGTAGGCATTATTGGCCGAACTCCGTTATCAATTTGGTGTGTCCAATTTTTTTTATTTCACTTTTATAGATCCGACTTCATGGAAATTTCAGCGTATTTTTCCCAACATAATCATTCAATAATTTGGAGCTTTCTCAAAACTAATTACTATGTTCTAGTTAAGTCATGGCCACGGACAGAATCGGCCGGTCAAGCCTGTGGACAACGGTCAAGCATGTGGATAACGGCCTTGAACCTGAGGTTCATCTTTTTTCTTTTCTTCTTTGAATTTTTATTATCCTTTATTTTTTTTAATAAATCGATTTGGCCGAGAACCAGCGGTGATGCCCGTCCTTTTCTAAAATAAATTTTAAATATTTTTTACAATAATTTTAATATAACAAAGAAAATTACATATTTAAATATAATGGAAATATATAAGTCATTTATTAGTTAGTTTAAGTATTCGAATATTTTAAATTGCCTAAATATTTAGTTAATAAAGTTTTAATATATAATTTTTATTATATAAATTATTATACATTTAAAAATTTTAATAAACCAAAGAAGGTCCAACCAATTCAACTAATGATCGGACCAATGAACAAATAAATCAGTAATTTGATCAATTCGACGACTAATCCGATTTTTAAAACGTTGCCCATGTATTTTTTGTATGAACCAACTAGTACGAGTCCCGTGCTATGCACGGTAAGAGATATTAACTAATATTTATAAATTAAAAATTCTTATTAAGTAATATTAATAAATTAAAAATATAGAATCAATATGTAATACAATTATCTATTCTAATTTATTAAAAATGTTATGTAAAATTTAAATTGTACAAAATTACATAAAAATGTCTATTTAAAATTAGTACACAACCCGTGTGATGCAGATAATGATAATAAATCACATTATATTCATTTCAAAATAAGTATCATTCCAAATTCTTGTTCAAAAATTTGATTTGATTATAATATGATTCCATAAAATAGTTCTTTTGGTAAAAAGGTATCATATATATAACAACCTATGTACATAATAAGTAAAAATATAAAATATATATCGTTTCATTACTTTTTTTTTTTTTCGGAACGATAGAAATATTATAAATGGGCACAAATGTGCTAATACAAACATCAACTGACAACGCACAGCCACCAGCCGAAAAAACTGAGAGGACAGGACTACGCCCGCCTGAAAACGACCCTAACAGGGTAATAAGCACCCAACACAAAAACGACCTAACAGAGCAATAAAATCGTTTTTCATTACTTAAAATAATCTATTTTTATATAAACTATTAAAATAAAAAATAGGTTGAGTAATATATTAAACTATAAATAATTAATTATTCCGTTTACGTCTAAGTTAATATTGACTCGTAAGTTAATGAATACTTTATTAAACTATAAATAATTGACTATTTCGTTTACGTCCAAATTAATATTGACCCGCAAATTATGAATAATTATTTTTTTTATTTTTAATTATAAATAAAAATCTTTTTACTTTTCTTCAATATATTATATACAAAATTTAAACCATGCAACTAATAAAGGTAATAGCTGCAATTTTTGTCAATATATTATACAATAATGCTCACATACCCACAGTGGACACATGTTAACATGCTCACCGCTTATGTGGCATACACACATTGGTGATGTTAATATGTTAAAAAATATACATCACCAATGTGTGCATGCCACATAAGCGTTAGACATGTTAACATGTGTCCACCGTGGGTAGGTGAGCATTATTGATATATTATATTTCAAATTAAAATCATGCAACTAATAAAGGTAAGAGCCGTAATATTTGACCAAAATGATTATGTACATTAACTACATTAATTTATGCGGGATTTTTTAAATATTGGCAAAAAATATTACTCAATATAGTAAATACTTTAGGTGAAAAATTATTATTTTTTTGCTGATTTTTAGTTGCTATTTCAAGTAAATACCATTGCCATATATTAATAGATAGATAATAAAAATTTAATTCATTAATACACCATAAAATAATCATTTTAAAATTTTTCCATAAAATTTTGATAAAATTACATAAAATAAATTTTAAGAATATTTATAAAATATTATTTATCAATTTAAATATATTACATTATTTATCAGCTTTTCCATAAATTTAATTTTTTGTATAAATATTAACAATTTAATTTTTATTGTACAAATATTAACATATTAAATTTTCCATAAATTTATATTAGCTTTATAAAATAACATAATCATTTTGTTCTAAAATGATATAATTGCGGTTAATACGTATATTTAAATATTAGTTTACACTACATGTTATTATTCTAAGTTTTGATAAAGATGGGGGAGTTAAGGAAGTTAGTAAAGATAAGAAAGTTAAGATAAAGATTAATCTTTTCTGAAAATCCTTGGATTTAAAATTTTCACACAAAAATTTCAAATTTGTTTGAGCGGAATTTTTGAAAAATTCCAAAATAATTTACTATGTTTAGTAATATATTTAGGCGGGAATTTAGATGATTTTTTAGTTACTATTTATTTATTATTTAGGTTGTCTCTTTATATAATAATCAGTGTTTTAAAACGCGTATAACGTAATGCGTCGCGTTTTGATCTTTATACTGCGTAGCGTAAATAGCGTTGCGTGTTGCGTAAGCTATTTGGGTATATTTTTTTATATATATAAATATTACAAATATTTGCATATAATAAAATTGAATGGTTGATTACAAAAATTATCATAGTATTTGAATGACTTAAAAAATAACATCTAAGGATTATTTCTCACAAATATTTAATGTGAATATCATCATAATATAACTATTTAAATAATAAGTGGAATATACTAAAAGTAAAAACAAACAACAAAAATATAATGAGGTAAGTCATAGTATAATTTTAAGTATATGAATTTTAATTATTAATTTTTTATTTACCTATAAGTTAATTCTAACCAAATATGAACTTTATATTCTCTATTTAAATGTCCAATATCGAATAATAAAATGATATAACAAAAATTGACCGATAAATATTGCACTATTCAACTTAAGACTCTGCATCTTCAAACTTTTAATTTGAAATTATTATCCAAATTTTTAGTTTTTAGTTGTCATTTGTAAATATGACTCTGATCCCTAAGAAATACGAATTTTTAAATATTTTATTGTTCAAATGTCGTAGTAGAAATATACCGCAGTGTAGCGCACAATAGCGTGAAATAGCGTAAGACAATGTGTCATTTCAACATTTCGCGCAAGCTTTTTGGAAAAAACGCTAAATATATAAGGATACGTCGCGTTTTCTGAAAAAAAACTATATAGCGAGCAATAGCAAGCTACATAACGAGCTATTTAAAATAATGATAATAATAGACAAACGAGTAATTTGACAAATTCGATGACTAACGTAACCAGTATTTTTTAAGTGTACGTCGCTTTATTTGTGACATTTTAGCATCTTTACTGATCTTCCACTCTTCAACTACACATATTCTAAGTTTAAAGGCAAATACTAATATTGCTATAAATCAAAAATAATTTAAGGACAACAAAAATTAAATGAAAAAGAAAAAGAAAAAAGTTGTTGGCCAATCTCTCTGCTTATGTATGATATTGGTCCTGTTTGTTTTTTAGCGTTTTGATCTAAAAAGAGCTTTTCCACAGTTTTACAAACCGCTAACACGATCAGCTGGTCAAAACAGCTAATGCAATCTGCTGGTCAAAACAGCTAATACAATCCTCTAACAGCTAACAGCTAACAGCTGACTATCAAATATACTTGAACTAACCTGCCGCTTTTATTATTATTGTTATTGTTTAAAATTTTCTTTTATTATACTTAATTGTAATTATTTATATGATACGTAATATTTGATTAAGATTTAAGACTCTCCCTATTCGATCAAATCCAACTAGACAGTCAAAAGTATTTCTTATTTGGCCTTATGAGAACTGACTTTGAATATTAGGTTCAAGTCCTTTTAATGAGATGCAGCATTGTTTCTTTCTTTTACATCAACTAGTATTCGATCTTGTGCATTAACTAGTATTCGATCTTGTGCATTTGCACACTGTACATAGAATATTATAACTTACATTTATGCATATAGTATTAAAATTATAAGGTAAACAATGATATTATATTTTAAACATAGATTATTATAAGTTATATTTATGCATATAATAATAAAAATATAAATTAGATAATGATATTATGTTTTAAAATTTGGTCATTGATTGCATATAAACCGCTTTATTAATTACATAAAATATAATAAATAATGTAATTTTGAGAGATCGCCAATTTATTATCTTAAAAATATTAAATTTATTATAACATTTCATTATGCGATTTTAAGGAATTTTACTATAAGCTTAAATAAATTAACTTATTTAACAATACAATCGCTAAATAAGATAAAAAAATATAATATTAATTTTAGAATAAGTTACTTCAGCAAAAAGTTTACAATTTTTTTTTATGTTTATGTAACTTTCATATATCATTTAGTTTAAACTATAGTTATTAATTTTAATAATAACTATTATATAATATAATAAAAAATGTATATTTTTTTTTTATTATAAAATGTAACGGTTTTTGTCTTAATTAACTCTAAGAAAAGTGCAATGAAATAGTATAGCATTAATTAGACATGGTGGAATAATAATAATAATAATAATAATAATAATAATAATAATAATAATAATAATAATAATAATAATAATAATAATAATAATAATAGAAGAAGATTGTAACATAAAAAGATAGTAAACAATAATCAATACTATTAAATTTATTATTAGTAATTATATATAGAGGGAGATATAAATTATAAAGTTAAATAAGGTTTTATTAAATATTTTATTAAATACTATTAGTCAGCAATTATATATATAGATTAACATTTTATTGGATTTTAAAAATTCTAAATCACTTTCTCCCAGAATTATTGTTGGAAATAAAATTATCCAATGAAATTACAAATATTAAGAGAATACAGTTGGAAAATATATTATTAAAATCATTAAACTCTAAGTATATATAAATCAAACAAATCTTATTCTAATGGATTTTTTATGTGTTTATTAGTGATCTGAATGAACTTTTACATAAACAAACTGTTTTAACAAGTGTTTTCAAACAAGTTCTAAGTTTATGAGTCGTAATACTTTATAGGGAGATGTTACAGTCCCGTTGCCAAACTATTTCGTCTGAGATTTATAACCGTTAGATCAACTATATCTGACAGTTATATTATGATTTAACTGTTACAAATCCAATGGAATGGTTCCATTGCCGGGACCGAAGCATTTCCCGCATTTCCCTACTTCATAGGTTAGGTGATTGTGACAAATAGTCTCTCTTTTGTACACTGGTACAACCTAATAAGTTTGGTGGTTGATTGTACCAATACTCTTTTACAGATTACACCTATCAACTATATATGTATGACAACATTATTATATTTTATCAATACACATTATTCACCCTTGTTGGTGATAATAGTTATAAAAAAGTCTTACATATTTATCCACCATGTTTCCCTTAATAACCCCCACATATTGCGGTTTTACGCCCTTTTTTTCCCACGCCTTTACGTTTCCCGCCAAAACAGCCGCAAAAAAGGGACCTCCAAACATCCGGTGCGAGGCCAAACCCGCCGGCGATAGCGACCCGAC